TAATGTTTTCTATTTAGAGGTAAGCCCACAAAATCACTTTAATCTTTATAGATGTCTATACAATTATAATATAATAAAAAAAAACAATTATTATCAAAACGTATTGTTTTTATATAGTTTATGTACCAGCGACTTTGTTCGCGTAGAATAGTTTTTTGAGCATCAAAGTTTGGTTTTTAAAACCTTCTCATCTTTATAAATCACAGCTGTTAGCCACGACGGCAGTCGCGTCCCGTCGCTTATTGCAAGTTAATCTTAAAAGATAGACATACACTCACGAATATTTTTTTTTAGATAATTCAAAGAGGAATCTTTTTTTCATACATCTTTTTTGGGTATCTTAAACCCATGGTGCGCATTGGAAACCCACAGAGGTTAGTCTCAGTGCGATGTTTTATAACCTATAAACTTCCTTGACAAATGCTCTAACTAACACAAACTTTTTCAATTCGAACCAGTAGTTCCTGGGATTATCGCGTTCAACCAAACAAACAAACTCTTTAGCTTTATATATTACTATAGATAACTGCTTAATTAATGCACGCACGAAGTCTGCATCGAATTTGAATAATTCATATAAGCACCTATTATCATACGAAAAACACTCTTTGCTAGATATGCACTGTAATATCAAAATGTTAATTATTATTATCTTTTTCACACCTGCACTTGGTGGCTTATATAAGTTAAAATAAAATTTAACTCAAAAAAACATGGGCTGGGTTCGAACGCCGACCTCAACTGGATAGAGTTTTTAAATCTTTAATTTCATTCTTATAGAGCTGTCAGCAACAGTCTGCTTTATACATCGAATTTGAATTTCATGCTTCCGCACATGTTGACGGATGAACAAGATAAGCTCTGTTGATGTCTTTTAAATTTAGCGTAGGCGCATGTAAGGGAAACGTAAGAGAACATTAATTTCACTTACTTTATTACAAATTATCCTTGTTTTTAATGTTGATAAATTATTATGGTTTCCGTACCCGGTGTCCCGAAGAAAGAAGTACTTAATTGAAAATGCTTTTTGTAAATGAAAAAAAAAATCGTATTCGTTGTTCCATAAGATCTTATACGGGACCTAATTTTGTTTCTTTCCCTGCGCAAAAGCCATACCAGGATTCAATGGATGGAAAGGATTCAATCAATTATGTCAAACCAGGATTCTCTCATACCTTGTAATGTATTGAAGTATATATAATATATGATGTTCTGGGGGCCATTATCATTTACGAATTACAATCTATTTGAATGCCCTTTGCATTTTCTTTCTTTATAATTTGTTCTTATTTAAAAAAAATACTTTTTTATTTTTAACTACGGTCCGACGTTTTTGTCTCCCCGTGACCACGGCTGCTGCAAAGCATCGGAAACGTCGGGCCGTAGTTAAAATTATTTTCAAATAAGTTTAAATAATATAAATCGCGGTTTAAACCGTTATTACCGTTAGTGTTTTATTTAAATGTCTACTACTCGCGTAAACTACAGACAGTATTGTTTTGTTTGAATTGTTTTACGTGTATATCCTTTAATTAAGATTGTCTACTTACTATATTCACTTTAATCTATCTCCGTCCTAAGTTTTCACATTATCTGCACACAGCGCCCATGTTTTATAACGTCCCAGTACATTAGGGCCGTAAACAACGTGTTCGCCAAATTGCATTTAGTGTCGCTAAGATTTCGCTTCAAGCTTGTTAATTAAAGTTCAAAGCGCCCACGAGCTTGTAACGTTGTTGTCTAGACTTTATTGAATAATTTTAAACTTGAGCTACCACAGCTTTCGACTGCGCTGGGATAGTGGCGGGCGAGGACACGTCTAAGCTATTATAAGCTTATGATATTATACTACATTTATTTTCATAACGATCGTTGATTGAGGACAATTGGTTAAAGCACGGAACGCTGTGGATGCCGGTTCAAGTTCTGCTGTGGCTTATTTTTTTTTATCTACATATATAGATTTTTAATTTATATACTCATCATATAACATGTGAAAAATATTAAAGTTTTCAATGGTTCAATTGAAGTTCAGCTTGTTATAGCGAAATTAATCATTCAATTAATTTCTTCTTGGTCGTAAGTAGTTCGCTTTATATCGTAATAGCTGCTTTGTTGCTTTCTGCTCTCTCATCGTCCTATATTTCATACAATCAGAAATCCCTAATAACGGTTGGGGTTTAATAAGGTTCTTTATTTACGTCCTCCTAAGACGCCGCGTTACCATCGTATCATTACTTCCTTGTATTAGGAAAATCTCGGGAAATTTTATGCGGGTGGTGTTTTATGAAGATTCAATTCATTACTTTTGAAAACAAGAGGTACATGTTATGCGACAAAATGATTCTAGTAGTAAAATCCCGTTTCCGCCTCGTGGAACATGGGGCGAACACATTTTTGTGTTCGTTTGACTGATCCGTTCTATAACAGTAAGTTGATCAGACTACTGTGCCCTGCCCGACCGACACATTTTTTTTGTTTCTCTGGGATTTGAACCCAGGACCTCTCGCGCTGAACGCAATGCTATGCAATACGTTTAACATTTGGCTACAGAGGCGGTCAAATGATATTAGCTTTTGGAATGTTATCTTGTAGGTTGAATTCAAGTAAATATAGTAGTCGAATTTACAAGAAACAGTTCGGTAAAAAATCGATGATTGTGTCTGATTTTTTCTGTCTTTAGTTAAATAATTGCTTAATATAATTAAACAGTTTAAATTGATTGAAATTACATTGCGCGAGAGTTGCATGTATCAATAGGTTGAAAATGGTTACAGTAACAGCACGGAACGCTGGGAATACGGTTCAAGTCCTGCCCGTGTCGTATTATTTTTTTCAATTTGTAACGCACAAAGCTTTTATAAAATTAAAATTAAAGGAAGCACCGAGTTGAGAACTATAGCATAGATGACGATGAAAATACGTTCAAAGTTTCCACAGCATCGTCAAAACCGAGCTGCGTAAAATATTACCAAGAATTTTGTTTAATCCACATACAAAGGGAAGCTTTAAAATTTATTCAATTATAAAATTTCATAGTCCAGCGTTATTACATTATGGGTCCGTGCACATCAAAACAGAATATCAGTGCGCAGCAATCTTCCGTTGCCCTGACCGCAATATACGAAGAAGATTATATACTAGCTGTCCCCTCGGTTTTACCCGTGTCACGGTGTCAGATTATAAAAAAATACCCGTTTTATCTTGTATAACATTAGTCCCTAAACACCGTAGACGCTTCAGCTGTATATAGCGAGTACATAGCTCTGACATGCTCGTTGGTGTTAATGGTAGCAATGGACGATCCCACATCTTACTAATCAATTTATATATTTTCTGGAATATGAATTTTATATGGGTAATATGATTATCCAAAATTCTGTCCGAGTTACGAACCATCCACAGATAAAAAAGCCGTGAAGTTTCATTTCGTGTCGGCTTCAGTCTGAGGATTTTGGAATATCCAAAGCCGTAGGGTTACGTAGCTGGGGTATTTGACCATCAAGTGAAAAAAATGCTTCTCTATCCTTCTCTATCATAAAAACTTTATTTAAAATAAACACATGTAATCGTAAATATACAAAGCAATCATGGTATTGTTATTATTAATTAAGGTTTTCGCGGTCGATTCGCAAAGCTTCTTGAGTTGTTGAGTTGTTCGGCCGTCGTAACTGAGAATTTGTTCTCGACATTATGTTATTACGAGTGTATGACGATGTTGCGCGTTCCTCGACGACGAACGTTGCGTGCGTTTTTCATCCTTTTTTTCATAGCGGGTTCAACAAAGTTTCAAACAGTTCAGAGTTGCTTATATCAGTTTAGATTCAAAATTTACGTACAGCCAAAGTAATACTGTCTGTAGTTTCCGCGAGTGCACTACAGACAGTTCTAGGTACACATTTATTCCGTCGTCAAATACAAACTTCGCCGAAACAGATGGCGCTAGCGTAGTAGTTTTAGTCTCCCCGTGACCACGGCTGCTGCAAATCAGCCGAAACGTCGGGCCGTAGTTAAAAATAATTTTCAAATAAGTTTCAACTAATATATATCGCGTTTTAAACCGATAAAGTATTTTATTTAAATAAGTAATATTACCTTCCCAACGAGTCCAACCACGTGCACCCAGGTTTGCACGTGGTTGGACTCAACAATGTACAACACGAATCAATCTGTAAGGAAATGATTTTCTTTTCAGTATCAACTTTTAGCAGTGTATTGGCAGTCGGAGTATCTATACGGAATAATAATGTGAATAGACGAAACATGATAGAGATGCACAATTCCGACGTGCCCATCGTCGGAAAATGTAATTTGTGCTATCTGGGTTCGTCATGACGCGAATATGAACTACTGCGACATTACGGGCTTACTCAATATTTGTTTGTCGTTAAGATTAAAATATCTAAATCAAAAAGGTTGGGTCATCATCAGTCCGCATTACTAGTCTCTGTACTAACTTATAAAAATGGCCTATTTTTGCTATGGAAATATATGTAACGTTTCCAACACGGCAGTATATTTTTCGTTAATTTTGCGACAAATAATACATCTCATCTATAAATAATCTTACAAATAAAATACTTGAAATAATTTCAAAATGTTTAATGAAGGCATATATATTATCATGATCATGCTTTCATTTCGAATTTATGATTAAACACCATCCATTTTGTTTCAGGTAAGAAATGTTTTTCCAGTAGAAAATGTAGAGGTAAGTACCGTACGACGTTAATAATAATAAATACTAGGGGAGAGACCGTGTCTTAAAATGTGTGGAGTTAATTGATGGTACGTTTTATTTACGTGAGGGGATATTTTATGATTTACTATATACTATTGTTATTATATGTTACAAGACCACAAGAATATTTTGCGCTAGTCTGTAGTTAAATAAAACGCTTTACCGGTTCAAAACGCGATTTATTTTAATTAAACTTGTTTTATTTAACTAAAGTGTTAGTAAAGTTCAAATTATGTGTATGACATTTATACAATGATTTCTAATGATAATGCGTTTTAAGAACTACAAATTCGTTGTATCTCAAACTCTTCTCTTCATGTTTTCGACGCCATGCGAGCATCCGAAAATGACTTAACATACTTTGTACTAATGATTTCTCACCGTAAGATAAGGCACATGCCGCATTAAAGTCCGGCTGTTTGAAGCTAGGCCTCCTGGGTACGTGTGAGTGAATGAAGGCGGGGGCGGAGAGCTGCGCAGCCTCCGATGCCCCGGTCCGCCGCCAGTCAACGCCGCGGGGATCGAGCTCGACCACGTACCTCTCGTTCCGTTTATCGCTCAAACTAACCAAATAGTGACAATAACGTGACGTTTACCCCCGATAGTAAGTAGCTCACCTACCAGAATTGAAAGGAAACGTCGATCTCTTCGGGTGACACATTAATTCAATTGCCGTCGCAAAATCATTTTGGTGTTTTTGTGAAATTAGAATACAATTACGCCAGTTGGCGATGCGAATCGTAAAATTTTATGACACGATTCACCTGACTTGTCTGGAGGTCGCGGAGGTAGCTGAAGCGGGCTGATTGATGTGCGCGCCAATCAAATTTTTCGTTAGATGGTACAACCTTATTCATCCTTACGTGATGATCCATATTACCATAGATTGTTGATAACAATTTTATTATTAATATAATCTACGTCCTCTTACTGCTTACTAAGCTGTATTTTATAGTGATGCATTGAGCCATACAATGAAATTATAGCCAAAGTTTTATCTACTTGTACGCGATTATTCTGCCAGTTGGCAAGCTTTTGACATTCGAAATAGTCTTTGTCGACGCCGTTTATATCGAATGGCTTCAAGTGAGTCGCTAACAGTCAAAATCCTTTCCACCTACATTTACATCTTAAATTCTATACCTATTTTCATCTTATCGACATTATCTTCATGCTTATGACAAAGGATTAGAATATATACAGGCGAACGGTGACACTGGTAATCCTTTGTTCGCAAAACATTATACTCGTATTCAGAAGGAATCTTTAGTCAATCTCCAAATTTAAATTCACTTCGCAAATGTATAACCTCCATTACCTTACCCTCTTCATGGGAGCTTTCGTTGATACATTTCAGTGGAGTAATCTAATGGAGGTCTCTCGTTTGAATTTCAATTTTGCCGGGCCGATGGAAATTGTTCTATTGTCTTATCGATCTATGGTAATCCAATTAAACCCCCATTTAGAGTAGAATTTATTGTTTTATAAAAGCCTCCACACGCCGACCGAAGAATGATCTTCTCGTTCGCCGCAACAAAGTACTGAAGTCCAAGCGATAAGTGTTCGAGAAATTGAAAAGGATTTACTTTGCGCAAGCGGGCCGGTTTGTCGGATTAAATTGGCTTAGTTCTCTGTCTAAAGCTTGTACTGCGGGCAAAAATTTCGGAGCCCGAAAATTTTTTCATATCCTTAATAGAGTTTCTCGGAAAACGCTACAAAGAAGTTCTTCATAATTGTAACAAGCTACTCTCGAGTTTTTCATAAAAATTCGAATAGGATTTCCATCCAAAAGATTTGTGAGATTCACTCAGCAGTTTTTTTGTCATATCCTATTTTGGTCTCTAATTAAAATCACAGATAAAACGATTTGCCCTATCACTAAAAGATTTATTAACCAACTCCTTATGCGACTATTTCTTGCTCGGCATATTAAGTATAATGAGCTTTTCCTGTTAGATGTTCGACTGAAAAGGAAAATGCGAACGTTTACCTCACTGATCATGACCCCTTTCACCTCATTTCTCCGAATGGCACACTTACTGTTGTAAAAAAGTAATATGTGTCTTAGATGAAAGGTGCCGACAAATATACCTAATGTGTGTAACTTGCGATAATTATCATTTTGTTTACGGGGCACATCTTGATTTTCGCATGTAAAAGATTGTATGTGAGTTCGATATTCCACCATGCATTTGATGTCCCGCTTCGCCAGACAAAGTATTATATGTTCCAAAAAATGTATTAATTCAGTTTTTATGATTCATTTTAAACTCGTTAGGAATCTTGTTCGTTGCAATTAAAAGATACATTATATAAGTATTAGACAGATACAGATAGACCATATCTCGACTAATTTAACCACATTTGTACAGTCTTCATTTTCTGTCTTTATATTTTGTTTCCATTAGGGCTTGTTTACCTAACCCTCATAAGAGCGGAAACTGTGGTTGGGACTTTGTGAATGTCACGAACACGTATCGAGCTTTTATCATATACGGGCTCAGGCTAGAAGCGGTTCGTTGATTTATTTTCATTATCTTGTTTAGTGTAGCTTTTTTTTTACATTAATAAGATGAGAATAAACAGCAAATTCTATTACAATACCATTCTTTCTGATGTAACCGTTACGTTTCATTAAAATACTTCATTTATTGATTGCTTCGGTAGTTCCAACAATGAACCCGATGAATCATAAATATAGCTATTTATAAAAATCTTAAATGGCTTGGCAAACTCCATAATGTTTGTGGCATATATGAAAGTTCTTTGATCTGGTTAAGAGTATTCGGCAACAGCTGATGTAAATCCATTTAGCTCTGCAGTACCTCATTCTACGACAGCGGATTCCGAACTGATGACCCAGTGACCCATTTCTGGACTGCAGCAGAAAGCGGTCTGTATACCTTATTTGTTTCACGTTCTGGCACTGATTCCAAGTCAGATCTTCCATATTCATGATCGCGAAATTGTCTAAACTTGTGATTGTTTCAAGGGTTTTTTTAATTGCCGAAATCCATCCGAGTTGACGCGTCGCCGGCGGCAACTGATTTGCATAATTTAGAATGTCTCTAATCCCCTTAATTTCCATTTTAAGACTTTCACCTCTCTATTAATTGATTATGCAATTTTCATTACAGTAGAAGTCTTTGGTAAATTTTGCGTCAATATCGTTTCCTTGAAACTAACCTAAAAGCTCTTAGCTAGATTTACATACTTAATTGAAGTAGATATTTAATTTCGTAGTTCTATTGAAATAAATTACTATGGACAACTCTTATTCGGATAAAAGCCTCACCTTTGTTAATGGATAATGGCCGAACTCGGTCGATAAGCCGGCTCAGGACATGGCTTAAATTTTTCCGTTCGCCAATTAAAACCTGCTCTAACGAATGCCCTAGCAGTGCACGACTTGAATATTTTATGTTTGCGACCTCTCGGGAAATTAATGTAGGGCGCAATAACCCATTCTTCTTCGGCTTAAGGCTGCTGTTGGGGAAATTTTAAACATACTTTTACATTATACCTAATCTTGTTTGCCTGTTTTTGTACGGTAAACTTTGATGTTGGAGACGTGTTGTTTCAACATTCATTGTAGTTTTATGAACTGTTGGTATTATACACCAAAAAAGTTTACACTGGAAAGTTTGAGTCTGGCGAGCGGGGAATATATTTTTTATGTAAGGAGGAAAATGATTGTAATATGTATTTAAAAACTATTTTTACATTATGTATTTCTTATTTATATTCACAGAAATGAGAAAAAAGTGCCAATTCTTGAGATTTGACTAGTTTCTTATTAAATTGGAAACGTCAACATACTCAAGGCAGAGTTCCATTCATATTCTAGCAACGTTAACACAATTGAACAGAAATTTCGATCGTGTTTATCTTTCCTGTTTCGTTCGCTCTCTGCTGCTAGTAATAAGAGACGAGAAATTGAATTCATCAGGCAAACATTTGCCATCGAAACTCAATGTGGCTTGCCGCTGTCTAGGCAAGGACCTTTGCGAGCCGTAATTCTGCAACTACCCAATTATTCCACTATACTGCTTTTCAAACACGTGAGATCCCTTTTTTACCGTTTTCACCCAAGTACGAGTAACGCTTTGTCCGAAACCGGCATACGAGATATCTCCACTTACCGATGAATTTTTCAACGTTTTACGATCCTAGAATTCTTACACCTCAGAGATTTGGTGTTCGCTCCTAGATTTGTTTCCACGGCCTTTTTTTATTCACGTATTGCTAGGAGAAAAAGGTTGTATTAAAGTAGTATATTAAGTCTTTTAAAATTGTGTGATTTTTCTCGTATCTCGAATTGTGTGATTTTTGAGTGACACGAAAAAATTCTTGAACATTAGTTGTTATCTACTTTTAATGTAAAATTGTGGCTTTAAATATTATGTGACCCACTTTCATCGGGACAAGGCCGTGGCTTGTTTTGTGTGTAACCTACTTGGAAGAAGACGCATACATCGTGAAGATAATGCGTTTTATTAAATTTCCATCATTATATTAAATGTTTTTCTTTAATTAACTTAAGCTCTCTGCATTGCATTGCCTTTGTGTTGCGTAGAAGAGGTCGACATATATAAAACGGTACCTAGTTACAATGAGGATTTCGTAAATTTTCTGCAACAACACTGATTTAAGTGTAGTGAAGTGATATAAGGTGGAGACACGAATCTAAGTAAGTGTAAATTCGGATGGTACCATGCGCGGCTGGTGGCGATCGCGTCGGAGACGCTAGTCCGACCAGTGATCACCAGCGGAAAGGGTGTCGGGACGCGAGCGCGAGGACTGGTGCCCGCACGAGGCGAGGCGTCATGCGCTGACGTGTGCGAGGCGCTGCGCGTGCTGTGGCGCAGCGCGATGCCCCCCAGGGCCTGAGATGGAGGAGGGGGGCTATTGGCGGCCGTCTTGCTCGACGCTGTCGCTCGCCGAGCACCATGGCAGCTCGACGCACCTATGCGCCAGGCATGCCCCAAGAATGCCCCATCGACACCTCGCCCACGCTCCCCATGCGCACCACTCGCACGCCCATCATGCGCATGCGCATCATCTGCAGCACGCGCAACCGGTCTCCTGTCCCGTACACAGCCCCTTCAGGCAGCCAACGCCGGAATACTGCGCCGCGCATGCCCAGGTTTGTTTCAAATGTTTTCACCTGTTCAGAATGTCGAAGCACATTAAATCCTTTTGTATAATAATCTCAATATCTTAAACAATTTTGCATATATTGTTATTATTATTACTACTACGTTGTATTGTACAAAGGTTAAAATTCGTGGTATGAATGCCACAAGGCCGCATTCCATATAACCAACCCTAAATGAGGTATTTACTGTTGTACAAGTGTTTGCCTAATTTTAATGCTATGCACTGTATAAAATTCATAGAAATGATTGAAGTATATACCGCAAAGCTGCAAATCCAGCGAATGATTGGCAGTCTTCAAAGGAACTGATACGACTCAAGGGGAAATAAAATAAATTGAACGATCGTTTATATTTGAATGTCTTCTTTACTTTATGACGGTTGAATTTACTCATAAAGTGGTTTTAATAACTTGTAATAAACCTGTTAATTTTTTTTATAATACGCTCACGAGATAATAGTTTTCGCATTTTATTAAAAACGCTGTTACGCAAATTAGATTACATTATCGTAGTACCCGACTGTATCCGATAAAATAACTACCTTAATTAGTTTTTATGATCTAAATTAGACATATACGCAATTGACATTAAAATTATGAAAGTAAGCAAGTAGATACATTTTTTCAAAAACGTAGACATTGCATCTTTTGGAAAAAAATTGCCAAACTTGGCCTAACTTTAAACTGACATAATTTAAAATTCCAATGAGTTCTGTATTTAATATCTGCTAAATGCTGAATTTTACACATTTTTCTAATATTTTTGGTACATCTGACAATTGACAACATTGTAGCCATATACTCATACCCCGCGGATTGATTCGTTGATATATATTATTTTTATACATAATGTTATAAATTAACAAAAACCATCAGTCTTCGTTGAATTCGTTCGAGCATTCGTTTATTTTGCGTCGATTGCTTATGCGCAAAACTTAACGCTAGTGTCGTTAGGTATGTAGCCAAGAAATATTACCAACTTTTGATAGTATGGTGACAACTTTGTCATGCGCCGCAGCTGGTTCTGATTGATGTGATGTACTTCATAATGTATACGTAATGCGAGGGGATGATCTATTTATCCAAGCCTTATTATTGAATCAGATTAATCGCCTAGTTTTTATGAGAGTACGATGATAGATCACGTTACACGTTTTTATATAATAGTTACTCTTTCTCACAGTTTTAGCTTATTTTTATTGGCTATCTAATCTAATCTCTATCCTAATATTATAAAGCTAGAGTTTGTGTTTGTTTGTGCGCTAATCTCAGGAAATAATGGGTCGAATTGAAAAATGTATTCTTTTTTATATAATATAAAAAATGCCAAAGATTAACTTACAAGAAGAACGCTACGCGGACGACATCATGTTTAACAGCTATTATTTAATTATTAAATTTCGTTGCCCTGTTCCCCGTGGACAAAGTGGCGAACACAACGGAGTTAAAAATATTTATAAACTAAATCTTTTTCAATTTTAATATAATAAAAATGCAAATTAATTTAAGAGTTTGTAAATAACTAATGTGAACGTTAACTTTAAGTAAGCTATTTATTAACATTAAAACAGTTTACCTAACACAACTAAAACTCCTAAATATAAAACTTCCAGGGCTAAGCCACATTAAACAATGGACGGATTAAAGTTAAATGACGTAGCGAGAATTAAAGACTCGCGAGAATATAGTAATTAAAAGAGAATATTAAATTTTGAGTTAATTAATTGTACCGTTTATTAACAGAGAACAAATTATATCGTGCGAATTAAAACGATGGTTATAATAGTTTATTACAGGCGTTGAAAGGTGTGGGTTGAGTTTTTCATTATGAACGATTTTTCTTTATGATATAGGAGGACAGACAACTTGATGCCTCTACTAGATTTAAACTGTGTATTTTGGCTTTGGATATTTGGAAATCCACAGACTGAATTCGAATCGCAAACATGACGCCTTTTTCATCTGTGAATGGTGCTTCGTGACCCGGGTGGAATTTTTATTTACATAATCGTATGCGGAGATAGTAGTACATATTTTAGGTACTGATTACAGTATCATGGAGAATGTATAGGAGCATGAATGTCAAAGAGAAAAAGAAAATCATGAAAAACCGTCCCTTTTGATTCGGAAACCTTTAAAAGCAATTCTGTACCGAATAGGCTTTTGTTCTATTCATGGGAAAGGATTATTGAAAGTGTTAAGATACATTTATTCAGTAGGCGAGGATTTTTTCTTTGAAGTGACAATGTCAAGTTTAAACGTCAGCGATTTATTTTGCAACTAAAAAAACTAACTAGCTGAGCGAGTGACTTTGTCCGCGTAGAATAGTTATTTTAGGCATCCAATATGTCCTAACCTACGCCGGTCACGTCCCGTCGCTCGGTTCTCGTCGTTCTTGCGAGTTCTTCTTAAGAGATAGACACATAAAGTGTCGTGGACATTTTTTATATCATTTAAACAGGAATCATTCTTTCATACATATTTTTTGGGTGTCTTGAACCGTTTTCGCAGCGTACGCATCTGAAACCTACAGAGATGAAAATTTTCCCCGGTTTTGTTCACATTTACCGCTGTATCTTCGCTCCTATTAGTCACAGCGCAATGTTTTATAGCCTATAGCCTTCCTTGATAAATGCTCTATCACCACAAATATATAAGACAGAATAAAGATAGAAAAAAAAAACAATTTTTCAGTTCGAACCCGTAGTTTCTGAGATTATCGCGTTCAAACAATCAAATAAACAAACTCTTTATATCTTAGTATAGATTATCATAGTAAAATTGGTAAGTCACAAACTCAAACCTAATGAAATCACGCTGGACAACGATCTCCAGAATATGAAATCGATATACCTTTACAAGTCACGAATTCAATTAAATTTGATTTGTTTTTCTTCCATAAAATGCGCAGAAAAGTGATAAATATTCTAGAAATTTCGATCGCATTTGTGTTCTCCATGAAAACATGACTTCAATGGCATCTCTTCGATGGAATGAACCGAGTTATCAGAAATTCATAAAGAGGGAAGCAATAAAACGGCCACACCAATATAACATTGATTGTTTCTGATTGCAACGCTGTTTGATTGCGGTTCGCGCAATTATATGAGATGCGCCGCGTTCAGTAGATATTGGATTCGAAAATGTCGGTTCCCTATAGCTGTACAGTTTGTTTAATATTGCTCCTTTCGGTTGTTGCTTTTACCCACTCGCAATATAATTACGTGAAGTATGGCAGTAAGTTTTTTAACTCTAAACAATCTATAAATATTTTCTTTACGTCTTTTAAGTTCAGAAATTGATATATCTCTCTTTTCTTAACCAAAGTTGCTATTGCAGACAATCGTCTCGAAAGCGACGCTAAGAACTACCGTTAATCATGCTCCATTGTTAAAAGTTATTTTAATAAAAAATGAAAAATCAGGCCGTCGTGAAAACTCATTCACGAAACGAAATTTTTGCCGAAATTTATAAGGAAATCTCAGACTGTACGTCGTAATCAAAATACCAAATTAGCTTTGGCCTATAAATCGATTTCCCGGGAGTTCTTCTAGAGATTGTGCTCTTATTAAATGACCACATGTAAAAAATAATAAAAAAAGATTAACGTTTTTTTGTAGCTACTGAGAACCTTTTACATTTTGGCCGTTCTTGGGTACAAAGTTGAATTTATAAAAGTCAGCCTCTTTCGAAAGGCTTATCCAAAAGTACGCTAGGATCACTAGAACAAATGTGACCAGCAGCCTTTTTCTCACTAGGGACAGGGGATCTAGATATTTTTATGTCCTTAGTAATACTTTTATCTACAGACACCTCTATCTTCAGGTGTTAGTGTTTTTTCTTTAATCTACAAAACTAAACATAAGTATAATTAAAAATAAAGAAGGTAATAAATTTCGCGTTTTAAACGCTTATTTATATTTCTAGGAGCAGACGATGGACCTTTCCCGTCTAGTTTAAAAAACATGCCCTATTATTGTTATCAAGTGCCTTCGAAGGGGCCCTGCGAGGGAATGTATTACGTGTGGTTCTTTGACGTTGTAAGAAGGAAATGCACGCCCATGATATATTCAGGATGCGGTGGTAATGAGAACAGATTCAATTCCAAAGCGTCATGTTACATACACTGCGAAAAGGGAAGACGGTTATAATGATCCGAGGCAACGTCGTTACTGGTTACGCAAAGTTTAAACAAAGCGAAAATTCAAGCACGCTTTTAATCTGTTTGAAAACCAGATATTCTCCAATTCATATTAAAATGCATTGCACCTGCGAATATTATCGGATTTGAAATCTATTTTAGATTGAAAAATTGATGATGCGGGATTGACAAGCTAGATTATCAAATAAACAATAGCATGGCACTCTGATTTTGGGTTCGAGTTCCGATAGCGTCATAACCAACCTTTTTTAATAAGTCTTGCGCTGTCACATCTGAAAAAGGAGATAAAATATTTATCTTTTTTTGTACAATGCATTCTAAATTAGACTTGTAATGTATTTTTTTTATATTGCATATTAATAAAACTCAAACGTTTGCACTTGAAATTATTTGATGTCGGTATTTAGAATTTGTATCTGGTTGCAGCTGCTTTATTCGAAGTAAGGATTATCTTATCTGATTAAACTATCCTTTACGCTACTTGAGACAACGTGTTTAGTGTTATACTCGTAGATTAGCTGTCTGAGTACTGCAAATACAACGTACTTAAATTGCTTTGTTCTTCGATGTTAAAAGAGTCTCGTCTAAAAATAAAGGGTTGATTTTAATATAGCAATTATGAAAATTCCGGAGCAACTTCCACCAATTTTCATTAAAGTTTCACCAATCATGGTAATATTAAATCGTCATCAAAATGTCGGTGCTATTAATAGGTTTCTCATTTGTGTAGTCATTTATATGCTACCATAAGTTCTATGTTAATATTTAAATTATTGATTCACATTATAGGTTAGGCCTATCGAATCCGTCCGCCCCATTCTCTATTCAGGGTGCAATATATATTAATTAATGGCTTCAATACAATAGGTT